GTCACTTGAGGGCTTCGGGCGCTTCCTGGGCGGGGACGAGAACGGGATTGTGGCCCCCGAGAAGCTGGACCTGAGCGATGACATGACCCAGCCCCTGAGCAGCTACTTCATCAACTCCTCCCACAACACCTACCTCACAGGTGCCCCCCGCGACCCCCCTGGGGACCCCTATGTGCCCCTGGGCTCCTCACAGTTCCAGGATGGCTGGGAAACTGGGACCAGTGTGGTGAGGTTACTAGGACCAGCATGACGGAGTTACTGCAACCAGTATGGCCAAGTTATTGGGACCAGCAAGGCTGGGAACTGGGGCTTGTACAGCTGGGTTATTGGGACCAATGTGGCTGGGAAACTAGACCCAGTATGGGGAGATGACCTGCACCATCATGGCCGGGTGATTGAGACTGGTATGGCAGTGTTCCTGGGAGCTGTACGGCTGGGAAACAGGGCCCACTAGAGCCGTGTTACTGGGACCAGTATAGCAGTATCGCTGGAACCAGCCAGGCTGGAAGACTGGGAGCAGTGGCAGGCTCAAGGTGAACGTGGCCAAGGTGGGGTGGTGCTGGGGGGTCCTGGTGTGTTACTGGGACCAGGCCAGCCATGGTGCTGACCCCCTCCTCCCCCCCCCCCCGGGCACAGCGGGACAGCTGACAGGCGCGTCCTCGGTGGAGATGTACCGGCAGGTGCTATTGAGCGGGTGCCGCTGCATCGAGCTGGACTGCTGGAAGGGGCGCCCGCCCGACGAGGAGCCCTTCATCACCCACGGCTTCACCATGACCACTGAGGTCTCCTTCAAGGTACCCCCGGACCTCTCCCAGCCCGGGAACCCCTGGAGCCCCACACCTCAACCAGGGGCCCCATGAGGGCCCACTGACACCCAGCCAGAGCCCCCCCGCCCCAAGCTGGGGACCCCCTTTCCTGACACTGCCCCCCCCAGGAGGTGATCGAGGCCATCGCGGAGAGCGCCTTCAAGACCTCGCCGTTCCCCGTCATCCTGTCTTTCGAGAACCACGTCGACTCGTGAGTGCCCCCCCACGAGCCCCCG